AGGCATGAGCTCATTTGGGTGAGTCCAATTTTTGTGTTAACAGTTCAAACTTGTTTCATAATGAATGTTACCTGACCCAAAGAACACTAAATCTAGCTTCAAACGGACTGGTTATATCTGTACCTATCTGGAAGTAATGGAAAACTTCAACAAACGTCTTTTTTCCCTTTCCTCCTTTTCTCCATTGTCGATAAGTCTTCAGTCTAAGAACGGTTTTACTGTGGCCACAACTGGTGAAGGAAATGTGTCTGAAGACAAATTATTTTTCCGTTCATCAAAGTCCACCACAAGAGCCCATATTGAGTCTGTGTTTTATCTAACGTTCTCCTGAAACAAGCTTTTAATGTACAGTTTAAAGAGTAGATTTATAGGTCGAAACAAGGTCCTATTAGACAGAGCTAAGCCAAGAGTAAACTTCACAATCAAAATGTGTCAACGCGTTGCTTGGAGACGGCTGTTGTCAGGCACGGCCCCATACACCCTGGTTACATGGCCCTGATGAGTGTTTAAACTAGTTATCACGACTGTTCCCGATATAACAGTAGCAATTTGTTATAATTGTTGGTATTTAATGCAACAATTTACAATTATAAACTTTAAAAAGAATTACAGTTACATGCTGGTAACACGCTAAACGCTGAATAAACTTTATACAGAATTATTAACGAAAGATGTTATTTTTTTGACTGTCCTGTTTTCGAGAGCCAACGAATAATGACAATGGCCTTGCTCCCAATTCCTGCCTAAAACAGGAAAAAAGTATCACAACAAAATAGTACCAAAAAAAAGCTTTGCCTTTCTTCGTTTTTAAAAGCACGGACGTTGCCATCCGACAACAATAACAGTAATACAATGGAAAAAGAAACTATGTGATGTTAACATTGTTACTGTGATGTTAACATTGTTACTGTGATGTTAACATTGTTACTGTGATGTTAACATTGTTACTGTGATGTTAACATTTTTACAATTAGCATGCCGCCTTGTCATGGCGAAGCAAATGGCGCGGAAGAAAGAAAGGGTTAAATGGGTTAGGGGATCTTAAGTGCAGTCTTTAAGAAAAGTATGTCCCCGCCTGACCCATAATTAAACAACAATAGAAAACTACGCTCCTAGAAAAACACCAGAACAAACCCTGAACAAACTAGCGCGATACGATCTGGGCTCCAAAAACACGGGTGTAAAAATGGCGTCTGTGTTAGGATGAAGGAAAACCAAACAAATCTTTATTTTGTTTTATGAATCCTTTCTATATACCGGAAACATGGGTGGCTTACACAATACTCACTGACATGGAGGCAGTTAGCACACATACTGGCAAGCGTAGGATTAGTCCATTTTAAGGGTATATGTTCGGGTCTACTAAGTACTTTAAAAAAATGGCACATGTTCCCAAAATAATATGAAATCTTATCTAGTTGTGAGTGAAGCCATTTTCTATCATAGTATATTAGCAATGTAAGTGACATGTTTAATACTCAAGTATATTTATATACATATTTCATTTTTAAATTAAAACAGGTACAAAGAGCCTGGTAGCAAGAGCATAAAATTTTCTGAAGCACGGTGGATTTAGGGTTAGAGAATCTTACACAGAAGCTACATGAGATAAAACGTCTCGTATTGACCTGAAGTGAAAGCATATTTTACTTATCCTTGCCGGTTTTTCTAACCGTTGCCCCGTGACCAGTTCAGTTTACCCTACACCTAGCGGGGTGGTTATTGTAACGTTTACTGGCCTGGTTTGGCGCCAAGTGACGCTGGGAGATACGTCGTCCGTTGTCATGGCAACCCTGTCGATACAAATCGCACCTAGGCAACGCCGTTCCCAGGCAACGAGTACATAGAGGCTCGACTAGACTTGGGAGCATACTTTTTTTTCTCTTTCAAATCTGTTTTGCAGCCAAGCCTGGATTTTGTCTTTTACGAATCCGCGACTGAGGTATAGGTCGAACCAGATTGAATAGAACAAGCCCCCCCCCCATTTTTGTAGTAGAAACTCACACCGTCTAGGACTTATAATAAGACCCTCCTCCGAATGGACTTATAATGTAAGTCAACTCACAAACTACTACTTCTATTTCGCCAACATTATAGCCGTTCGCTAACGCCAGACTTTGTGTATTAAGTTTAAAAAGCCAAACACTCACCAAGTGTATTAGCACAGTTGTCTCTGACAGTCAGTCCTTGAGATGACAACTACCTCCAATGTACACAACGTTGCTATGGCAACAGTCAAATGACATAGGGCCACGGAGCCATGTTTCATTACAGAACTGTTGGTATATACACTAGTATCTTCGACTTATACAGCTTCGATATCGAAACACACTCTTACTTCTAAACTCAAATCATATGTATCAGTTTATGAGCACAAGCCAGCAAAAATGCAGAAAGAAACCTGCATGCAATTTAAACTCAAAATTTGAAATATCCGAATCTTCCGGCCCTGATGATGCACACTCTATGAGAACCAGCACCACCGTCTTCCAATCCATCTTCCCGTTATTCTTCTCTTGCATGAGATAATCCTTACATAAAAGAAGTCATGAATTTTTAAGAAGCCCTCTGTGCTGTACCATGTACCAGTCATTGTTCCCTTGCAATTGCCAGACCGCTGTAATAGTAGTAATAGAACCACTGCACATAAACTCATAATCTTCTGATTTCCTTCTGAAAAGCTTCAACAAACTTTCATCTCCAAATGGCTTTCTGCAATTTTTATTGTAGATTTTAATGTAGAAGTACGTATGCATACTATACTAATCAGCAGTTCTTGGTACGATCGCGAGTTTGACACTTGTAGTGCCTATAAGCATTGTATCATTGAGTTGTAATACCTGTCTTTGTTTAACGTTTAATCTTACATGACAAGGCAAGTGATTCTTTTATGAAGCTAAATTAGAACACTGCCTATAACAGATTTACTACTGTAACTATTTTTTGTGGCGCTATAGTGCATAATCATGTTAGATGCGGCAGGTGGGTTAACGCATGCTGCAACTGTACGTGTACCTGTCAAGCTCACAAACTATACAGATACAGACAGCTAAAGCCAGGAAAGTACGCCTAGCCTAGTGTAGGTATTACTATGGTAAATAATAAATTCTACCCCTGTTTCGTTAAAGTAGGTCACATTATGTTCAGAATCGCGAAAGCCGTATTGTTAGCACGCCTGTCGTATCAGTATTGTGGCTTTTAACACGATATCTTCTTTATACATTCATAGTCTATGTTGAAATATTTATCACTTATGTCCGATCGATGTTAAGCCGAATCTATCAATCTTTTTCGCTTTTTGTGACATGTTATCATATCACAATTCTACGGTGCAAATGCTGTTACATTGAACCTCGCTTAATGATAAAGTGCGTATCATTTTTGAAAATATTATGCTTTGACATCTCTTCTGAAAAATCCCTCTCTTTGCCCTTAAAATTGAAGGATAGAATACGACATTTGCTACATGTTTCCATGTTATGTGTTTTTGAAAGCAGTTTCGAAAACTAAAAAAAAATCCAGTAACCTTTTTTTCAAATTTTCCAATGCATAGGTCGTGGACTGTCACAATATAATGCTAAGTAACGCCGGTAACCTGTCTACATGCTAGGCATGAAGCGCCACCTGCTGATCAGCCCGGCATAACAGGTGCTCTGACGTCATTTCTTAGGATCAAAGTTCAATCACTCAAGATGGCGGATGTTCCCGAAAATGCGCCTGATCGTGAGTTTTAGAAAATGCTGTAGGCTGTAAATGCATTTGTTCAGTGTGGTTATAAAGATTGAAATGAATATTTCAAAGTCGAATACAATAATTTCCTTCAAAATTCCGGGATTTCATCGCGTAGAAAAGTCGTGTTAGCTATGTTTGGGGAGGGTGTGTCTGTGTCCTACACATGTGAGTGTGTGTGTGTGCTTGTTTGTGTGTGTGCATGTGTGTGTCCATGCTCGTGTGTGTTTGTGTCAGTTTGTGTGCTTGTGTGTATGTGTGTCTGTGTCTGTGTGTGCTTGTGTGTGTGTGTGTGTGTGTGTGTGTGTGTGTGTGTGTGTGTGTGTGTGTGTGTGTGTGTGTGTGTGTGTGTGTGTGTGTGTGTGTGTGTGTGTGTGTGTGTGGGCATGTCTGTGTTTGTGGGTCTGGGTGTGTGCGCAGACGTGTCTGTGCATGCGTGCGGTTGTCGCAGTTTGTATGACTAACACTTTTTCTAACCCCCCAGACTGCCCCGGCACACAGAGTGAGGATGCTGGGAAGACGTCAGCCTGCCAGGGTTGTCCTAACCAGGCTGTCTGTGCCAGTGGCATGCCCAAAGCTCCAGACCCAGGTGGGGTTTTACCCATATCTGTCAGACCCAAATGGTAACTAGACCCAAATGGAAGGAAAAAGTTGTAGCCTTATGTCTGGCAAGGGATGAAGAAGTGAGTATATGAAAGGCCACACCTGCCAATGTATGTTCTTCAAACCCTGCATAAAGTATTTAAAGGTCTTCTTTTCTTACTTCCAGATATGGGAGTGATAATAATGTTTTGGATTGCTGCATTGTAGGCTTGTGTGTGTCCTTGTCTGGACATACAGGTTGACAGCACATGGGAGGGTGTAAGATTGACATGACTGGTCAGTGAGGAGGACTCAAAGGTCTCTGAATTTGGCTGGAGTCAGAAGTCGACATTGGGGGAATTTCCAGAAGCTCCCACGAAGTCTGAAATCTCTGATTTTTTTTTCTTTTATTATTTTAACATCTTTAATTTTCCAGCTGTTGAGGAAATCCGTGAGCGACTTTCCTCAGTGAAGCACAAGCTGCTGGTCCTGTCTGGGAAGGGTGGAGTGGGGAAGAGCACGGTCACAGCACAGCTGGCCTTCGGACTGGCCAGGCATGAGGACACACAGGTCAGGATTTACAAGCACGTCGGCAGAACCTACGATACTGCGCCTGTGCAAAACCCTGATTTTCGCGGTTTTCATTGGATGTTTGGTCAACATTGCATCAGAATTTTGATTGTTGCAGAGGATATCTTTTCCGACATTTGGAAACTGCATACAGAGTTACCGGTATGCTGAAGTGCTATGCATAATACAGTACGGTTTTTGTGCAGGTGCAGTACATTCTACCAACGTGCTGGATATATACCATATATACACCATGTCCATACATAGTATGTCATACCACTTCACAGGCCAAGCAAAACCACCAAATGTAACACACAACTTGAAATTGAACACTCACAGCTATGCCTGACCTGAAACCAGAGCTACAAAAAAGTCTACCAAAGTATCAATCCATCCAAATGTGATCCTTGTGACATGTGACATAGAACATCTTGGCAAATGTCAACAGGTCATTCTTGTGACTTTAAGTGTCAGCCTGTGCATGCTTAAGAGCCCAACACACTTATTAAGCAGTCTGAGTTTACCCCATTCACAGGTTGGAGTACTGGATGTGGACATTTGTGGGCCATCTATTCCCAGGGTAATGGGACTGGAGGGGGAGCAGGTAAGAATTTGTCGTGCATCCTCTAATAGTAAGACTTTTAACATAATATTATGAATATGAGTCATGATATTGTTGTGTGAAGCATGTGTATTTGTAAAATTGTATTGTGTGTGTGTAATTTTTGTCATCGAATGGATACGTATTGGAAATGTTAGGATTGCGGATTTGTTACTTCAGGGACGTCTTACAAAGCGTTAGATGTAATGCTTGAAAAATCACACTGCAGTGCATGCTTTGTATAATAAGAGCACTCAATTCTCAAAAGGCTCTCTGCATACAAACTGTGCATTGTTCATGTCAAGTTCTCAGTCATCTCTTAGAGCACTATTATCAAAAGAGAAACAGCCCTTGAACTGCTATTGCAAAAGTTGAAGGTAAAGGTCTCTTGAGACACTGTTGTGAAAAGGAAAAACGGATTGATTTCAAAAAGACAATGGAACAAGTTTCCATGTCCGCTTTCCATGCCTATGTTTGACTCCCCTCCCCATTCTGGTTAACAACGATGTAGGAATTACACCTTATTGCAATTTAGTTCTACTAATATCAAGGCGGTTTGTTGTTGTACTGTCTTAAGATTTATTTCATATTTCCATGTATACAATGTCATTACACATGCATGTACATGTAACTCACATGTACAGCAGGTTATTCTTTGGTTTGAAAGTTTGTAATTGTACCCTTATATTTTTAACATTACAGACATTATATTACATGTATTGTACTAATAAGTAAAAAGAAGGAGATCTCACCCCTGTTCCTCCTGTTTTTAAACCTGCTGATGTCGACCCCTACAGGTGCACCAGAGCGGGTCCGGCTGGTCACCTGTGGTGAGGAGCGAGGCATCTTGTCTTCTCCTTCTTCTGTTAACACCTTAAGGAACAGCCGTCTACTTCCTTCTTACTCCTGTAGACTGCAGAAACCTTAGACAGGAGTGGTCTCCTTGTTGTCCCTGTGGCTTCTGGTTGTTAGGGAGTACAAGCTGAAGTTCTAGAACATGCGTTTGACCTTTCACCCTGATGTCAGTTAGGTTGCCATGGTGATGTTCTAGAGCCTGATCAGGGGATGAGTGGGAGGGGGGGCAGAGTGAGATTACATGGAATGTTCTAGAACATGGCTGATTGTTTTTAATCTGGTGAATGCCAATCAACTACCTATTCAATAATTAAAGTTTGTTTTTCTTCTTACAAGTTACATGTGTTCGTAGGTTGGTTGATTTGCACTGTAAGCAGTGTGAAGCAAATTTAGATTTTGTGTGGGTCCTGCCAGCCGATTTCTGAATGAAGGAAGGAAGACCTTTTTTTTTTTTCAAAGTCATTGTAAGTTCTTCTAATTGCTCACTCCTAATATTTTGCTAACTTCTATTTTGGAAGTCCCATGTCCCTTGCTCTGTGAGAAGTTATGTGTTCAGTCACATTGCATGACCTCTCCCCTGACAGTATGTAGAAGACAACCTGGGTGTGATGTCTGTAGGCTTCCTCCTGGCCTCACCTGACGATGCTGTCATCTGGAGGGGACCCAAGAAAAATGGTAAAAACACTGCCTCCAAGATAACTGTACCCTCTAACCGATTCCAGCCTTCAGAATCCTGCACATTTTAGGCTTAGTCTTTATTTTGTCTAATTAAATTAATTGAATTTTTTTTCTTTGTTGAAAAGTAGATTTGTTTCTTTGTGTGATAGAGTTCCATCAAATTTAGTTCCTTCAAAAGTCTCAAGTGTAAAGTGTAAGATTGCAATACTGCTTCACTCTTCTCTTATGGTTTGATATGCATGCTTGGTAACAACATTGTTGTATCTATGCAAATATAATGAGAAAATTCCTTTTTGACGTATGATTGGCTGCAATAAGTTGTTTGCAATCCAGCAACACCCCCACACATGCACACACACACACACACATACAAATGAACAACTGTTCACTATACAGTACCCCCTAACTCTCATCACACCCCACACCCCCCTTCTGTTCCAGGGCTGATAAAACAGTTCCTGAGGGATGTAGACTGGGGGGAGTTGGACTACCTGGTGATAGACACCCCCCCTGGTACATCAGATGAACACCTGTCTATTGTCCAGTACCTGAGTTCAGCAGGTATCGATGGAGCTGTCCTGGTCACAACACCACAGGTAAGTTCTAACCAATGTCATCATCTTCAGTACTGCTTAACCCATAACAAATGGATTACCACAAGCTGCACATGCACAATGTTACTAAGTACAAAGAAAAGGCTAGCCTGAGTACCATCTGGATTTTCGCTCAGCAATGCTTTAAAAAATCATCCAGAATTTTGCTTCACAACACTAAAAAAAATTGAGCGTTGCAGAGCGAAAATCGGGATGGTACCCATTTTTTAAGCGTTGCGGAGTGGAAATCCAGATAGTACCCAGGCTAATAAAAGGTAGGAATTGTACATGACTGTGCAAGGACAGGACAAGTTAAAATATAACTCCAATATTGTGTAAAGTGTCAGGTATACAGAGATGAAATGTGTTTTGGGAGTTTGAATACTAAACTCAAGAGAAACCTTTGCTTCACTGACATTAGAGTCTACATGTACTGCTGTTGTCAGGATAAATGTTGAATGATGACAGTTTTTGTCTTGTCTCTGTCACTCTGCCCTCAGGAGGTGTCTCTGCTGGACGTGCGGAAGGAGATCAACTTCTGTAAGAAGGTCCAGCTCCCTGTGGTGGGTGTGGTGGAGAACATGAGCGGATTCGTTTGCCCCAGCTGTCAGGTCGGGATCAATCTATGAATAAATCTGTCAATCAATTCATCTATCTGTCATGTTGGGATGAATCAATTTGTCAGATAATTCTGAATGCACAAAAAAGGGTACATCTAGCCCTTGTCTGTGTTCATGACTGGGATAGATTTTCTCAATAAAGAAAGAAAGATTTTCTGACAAAGACCCAGTTTCTGTATGTGTTGTACTCTCCCTATAGTACCTTAGCCCCATCCCAGTCTATTGCAATGTTGCAATAAGTGCATTGTGGGCCTGGCAGCTAGTCAGCTAGCATAGGTAGATATGTTTCAGGTTGTGTACAAAGCTTACTTTCTTGATGAAGGACGTAACAAAATGTCTTCCTGCTGTTTTCTGCAGAACGAGTCCCAGATCTTCCCCCCTACCACAGGAGGTGCTGAGAAGATGTCAGTTGACATGGGGGTGCCTTTCCTGGGCAGGCTGCCACTGGACCCCAGAATAGGTCAGGAGAATAGCTTTGCTTCTGTTTTTATTATAATTTCCTAGTTATTAGAGTCAGCCAATTTTTGAAAGGTCACAAAAACATTTGCCATTCCCAGAAAACCATTTGTTTGTTATGATATTGTTGGAACTATATGTTTGTTGATTTGTTTGTTTGTTTGTACAGGAAAGTGTTGTGATGAAGGAAAGTCCTTCTTGTCTGTAGAGCCTGACTCTCCTGCAGCAAAGGCATACAAGGAAGTCATACAGAGTAAGTCTTATGTCATCCATTCTGTGTTGTTTTACCAGTGTAAAACAGGGTAAAACATTGCATTTTCATTAGTTGAATGAAATGAACTAAAAGTTTCCATGTTTCTATTTGTTGATCTGCAGGAGTAGAGGAGTTCTGTTCATCACACAGCAACAAGGGTAACATCCTGAATCCAGTGGAGTAGCAGTGAACAAGTCAACAACCAATGTGCAAAATAGGAGCTCCATCTGCTATGGGGTCTGCCTCATCTGTTGATAGATGTATTTCGTTGTATCAGTAAACCCATCATTACCTTTTGGCAAGACGTGATAAAAACACAGCCAAATAATTTGTATGACAATAAAGTCAGAATCTATTAAACTGTACTTCTACACTCTTCTAATGTTTAGTGTCTTCATTTTCCTTCCTAAAACCCAGGCAACAATGTCAGAATATCACAAGATGCAAATAAATCAATTGCAAGCAACTGTGAATGCATAAATTATCTGAGAAGTCAGGTATTTCAGGTGGTTCATAGCATCAGTGACTGGCAAATGAGTCTGAAGGTAAGTAACCTGTACATGATGAATGAGTATCAGAATGTCAATGAGGAAACATTCAAGAAGCTCCTGTTACTCAACTTACTGGATATGTTGGACCACAGGATGTGCTGTTATGTGCAGGCACGCCACCTAGCGTAATTGAAGGGCTATCCAGCACCGGAGTCACTAAGTTAAATTGTATCCCATGATGTATTGCGACAACAGGAAGTAAAAGCAACGGTGCAAAACACGGTGTTCTTTCGTCTTGAGATCAAAGCGTAAGACAACACCAACTTTAAGATTACACGTACTTAAAGTTTGACTAAGCAGAAATGGGAGAGAGATTTTGCACGATCTTTCTGCTGAGTTTAGCGGCGGTAGGGACACGGCCTTTCGGAGTACACGCTATAACAGGTGAGTGACAATCGTGATTTTGTCTTCTGTTTCTGAATTGTAGCAAAATGTCTAAGTTTGAGCAAGGACATTATAATGTCCTTGGTTTGAGGATGATTGTTTTTATCTGCTTTCTTTATACGCAACTGGAAGACGCCGATTATCTCCCAGCAAGGAGCTTATAAGCTTCTTGGTCCAAATAATACAAGTTTGTTGTCCAAAAAGATCAAAACGTAAACTACCGCAAAAACATCATATGATTCTAATAAATTTCTATTGACACAACGACAATACAGTGACATTCGTAAGGTCTTCTACAAGGAAACAAACACGTGGATACTAATGAATTAACCTACGTACATGTACTAGTATAGGAATAAATCAACACATTGATAGCCAGCGTCATTGTTTAATGTGTGCATGGTAACATGGTGGTACTATGAAAGGGACCTCCTTGTTGGTACACATATCGGTATCAAGGGTCAAGTATGCGTACAGAAAGAAGACAGCAGAGGAGTTTGTAACATGCCTCTCTGACCTGAAAGCATGTTTGCTGTGCTGATGTATAAAAGTATTCCTATCTAGACAAGTATTGATCAATCAGTTGATTGGCTGGTAGATTAACCGATCGATTAACAAGTAATTGAGTCATGAAACAATTGCTTGTCTATCCAGAGGTGTTAGCTGAAGGTGTAGGAAGAACAATAGATTGTCCCCGCCCCCTGGTACAGCGGTTGAACATCACCTCAGCCCGGTACGGTACTGGGACGTGTGAGTCCCCTGGTGCCCTACAGACACTACAGACCCGCTGTGGGGGACGGTCGACCTGCTCCGTACGGGCCGGGGACGATGTGTTCGGAGACTCATGCTCGGGGCAGTCGCGCCTGGAATTCAGCTACGACTGTTTGAACCGTGAGTTTCAAATCTATAATCTTCTTTCTTTCATTCTTTCCTTCCTTCCTCCGTTCCTTTCTTCCTTCCTTCCATCCTTCCTTCCTTTTTCCTCTTTCTTTGTTTGTCTCTTATATATAGATAGGTGAACGAATAGGTAGATGCTATGTGATAGTACTTTTGAATAGTCTGTAAGGATAGATAGATAGATAGGTGTATCATTTCGAGGAAGTCATCTGCTTTCTGCGCGCCATCGCAATATTTTATTGCTATTATATCGTGTTTATGCAGTTTACACATCTTGTTCATATTCATATACCACGCAAGACTCGACTCGGCATCTGCTACTCGTAACAGCTGGTGTGTATGAAAAAGTTACGTTTGCCTCGGTGACAAATTGTTTGTTTCAGTTCCTGGATATCACGGCTGCTTTAGAGACTACCGCTACTATAGGGCACTGAGAGGTACCAGGTTGACTTCAGATAGCCTGACTATCCAGGATTGCTTGAAGAGCTGTCGGAACCGTAATTACAAGTACGCCGGTGTGGAATATACTTACGAGTGTTTCTGTGGAAACAACGAGGACTTCGGCCGCCATGGTGAAAAACCCATGTCCGATTGTAACTACCGATGTAATGGAGACAACGAACAGTACTGCGGAGGAAGCTTGCGTATTGAAGTCTACGAAAGTAAGACCCAACTCAATTGGCTATAAAACACAGCTATATGATACGTCGATGAAGGTTAGACATCCAGGTAATACGATATGCCAAAAAAAACAGTTACTCAAGCAACTGGATATGATTTTGAAAACGTCAGACGTTTCAGCTAGTATCCACTAGCTTTCGTCAGTGACTGAGAGACCAGAGGGGAAAGCAGGTTTATATACACAACCTGTTGATTGATATGCAAATAAAGTGAAGACAAATTTTTGGAAGTCGAAAAAGGAACAAAAGTCAGACAAGTCAAGACAAGATGATGCAAATTAGTCTGAAAGCTCCTGTTATACAGGACAGGAGCTTAAGTGTTGTCTGTCCTCGGGGCTGGGAGTGCCATATCCCAAGTGCCGGAAAGATCGACCCGTAGCCCCCCTTCCCTGTTGAGGGTGGGGTTGTACATTCTTTCATATATTGCCTCTTTAACACCCCGTTCCCACCATCGTGTTTCGCGGTCTAAGACATCCGTGGACTCGAGTTTGAAAGAGTGACCCTGGTTGTGTTGTAGGTGGTGGAAAATAGATGAGGAGTAGCCGTTGGCACTAGGTCGGCAATGTTCTTTGTACCTTACTTTAAGCGGTCGACTTGTCTCTCCGATGTAGGTGTTGTTACAATTGGGCTCCTCACATAACATTCGCCTTGGTACCCTTGTGAGGTCGGTCCTTAGGGTGTACCAGTCTTTGTCTGAGGGTTGAGTGAGGTTTGAAGTTAGTGGCTATGTTGAAGTTTTGGAAGATCCGTCGGAGTTTCTCAGATACTCCTTGGACATACGGAATAGACTCAAATGTGAGGAGCCCAATTGTAACAACACCTACATCGGAGAGACAAGTCGACCGCTTAAAGTAAGGTACAAAGAACATTGCCGACCTAGTGCCAACGGCTACTCCTCAGCTATTTTCCACCACCTACAACACAACCAGGGTCACTCTTTCAAACTCGAGTCCACGGATGTCTTAGACCGCGAAACACGATGGTGGGAACGGGGTGTTAAAGAGGCAATATATGAAAGAATGTACAACCCCACCCTCAACAGGGAAGGGGGGCTACGGGTCGATCTTTCCGGCACTTGGGATATGGCACTCCCAGCCCCGAGGACAGACAACACTTAAGCTCCTGTCCTGTATAACAGGAGCTTTCAGACTAATTTGCATCATCTTGTCTTGACTTGTCTGACTTTTGTTCCTTTTTCGACTTCCAAAAATTTGTCTTCACTTTATTTGCATATCAATCAACAGGTTGTGTATATAAACCTGCTTTCCCCTCTGGTCTCTCAGTCACTGACGAAAGCTAGTGGATACTAGCTGAAACGTCTGACGTTTTCAAAATCATATCCAGTTGCTTGAGTAACTGTTTTTTTGGCATACAGCTATATGATATTCGTTTAATTATTGTTTTAACTATAAAAGTGTCAGTGCCACTTCTGCCACCCTTTATGACCCATTCGTTTGCTTTTTGGTTTCTAAATAGAAAAACAAACAACATGAACTACTTTCCGTTCCACAATTCACATAGGTTCTGTTTTGCTTCTATGTGCACACTCGATCGTAAATTGTGTTTGTTCCGCTTATCCGTTAATCTATTTGTAACGTTAACGTTACACAAGTTGGATCCGTACGTAAGTTCTTCAAGGCTGGTAAAGACATACAAAGCAAGATGCAGCTCTTGCGGCGAAAATATTAAGTATGAGGTCTCCACATATGTTATCCTAGGCTACATTTACAGTAAAAAAAAAACTACGATTCCATGACTTCAAAAACTCTGGTATTATTTCTCACACGTTTTTAGAGAAGAACGACAAAACAAATAAGCAACGTGCTACAGGGGCTCTCCCTTCAAAAGCAATGAACAGTGCCTCGCCGTTCAAGCACCCAATGAAGGTTGTTGACGGGTGATTTCATTCCCTAACCTGTAGGTTCCATGGGCCAGTACGGCGCTGATCTGACCCTGGACGGGTCCCTGCACTACGTGTACTCCCCGGACTTCCCCGGCCTGTACCCGCGATCTAAGACATGCCAATGGACGATCCGTGCCCAAAACGACAAAGTCGTCAAACTGCAGTTCGACCTGTTCAACTTGGCCTCAGGGGACGTGATTGAAGTTCGGGACGGTACAGAGGAATCCCAGGACCTGGGTCTCACCGGTATTTGCTATGTTTCATTGTCCATTTTCACTCATGCAAAGTACAAGTACACTTATGTCAACTACAGCTACAGAGATGATTCACCAAAGCAGTGCTGCTGATATTAACACCACAGATAAACCAAGAAGTCGGATATCTCAGTTTTTTCAGTATTTAGGGGTTTTGTGATCTCAAAGCTCATCCCATTTCTTGTCTGACCGTAAATTGAATTTCTGTCATTCTGGTATTACCATGCGGATCGACAAAGATACACACAAACCCACAGCTCAGCCAAGACAGTACTTCCGTGCCTGGAAGTAAAATGATAATAAGAAAGACCTTAGTCCAATTACATGTATATGTTAGAACGAAGATACGCGGGTATGTTGTATGTTATCAATACAGGAGCTGCGGTCCCATCTGTACCTGCGAGTTCTGGGAGCGCCATCTGGGTGCATTTCCAGTCCGGGAACGGTAGAGGACGCTTTATATTCTGGAGTCAAGGTCAGTGGAGACACTCGGACAGTCTGGTCGTAGCTTGTGATCATTATACAAAATTGCTATGTGACTATGTAACAACTCCAACACCGGGACATGTGCCTGCTCAAAAAATAAACATGTCCATGTCATCTTTGTTTCCAGAGATCGGCCATTGCGGCCCTATCCACCTACCTAGCAACAGCGGAGCTGTAGCTGACCCGTATACAGGTAACGTAGGTGTGGGGGAGACAGCACTGGTCATCTGTAACAACCGGAGGCTTGTCTGGGTCAGGTGTGAGGAGGACCAACGGTTCAACGATACAGGACCCTACTGTCAAGGTGAGCTACAGGGTATCGACAACTTAGAAAATTTATCATATTCTTGCTCTAGTCTGCTACACTGATCACGTACATGTTTGTACATTGAGGGCACTTCCTTTTCTTCTTGTAGAAGACACGACGTCGACAGCTATTTCCAGCACTGCGTTATCCACCCGAATGTCGCACCATTCTTTAGCTACACAAGGTAAGGAAACGTGACTTTATAAATTTTACAGAAAAGCGTTCTATCCATTCCTAGATAGATGCAATTGTATTATTTTTATTCTGGTAGCAAAGTTTTATCATTTTCAATACACGTAGTGTAGCTGTAGAAATGTTTGTTAGGAGCTATACAAAGACATGTTTGTTGTGTCGGTAGTCTTATTATATACTATTAGGAAGAAAATGTACCAGGTTAACGCAGAAATCTACACGTATGTCACAGACATAAAAGCACATCTTTTTATTTCCTCTGTGATTACAGAAGGATTTTCAACTTCCCTGTATCCACCTAACAACGCTGGTCAGCAAGGACAAGGTAACATTTTTTGTCATTCGCTCCCTCTAATATGTAGTTGGTTTGTAATTAGTTTCAAAATTCATCTGTGCTGTTGAACTCACGATATACGTAAAGGAGAAGAGTTAATTTTCAGCTGAATGTCCAACACAGAGGATTGTAAACTGAATAAATTCTTTGTGGTATAGCAGAAATTTGCACAATTTTTGAAGTTGGAAATACATAATTTCTGTGACATTCATTTAAATGAAAAACTGTACCGTCGGCTACGTATTGATAGAATGGTATCATTTTGGCATGATTTATTCACAAACTCTGATGTGACTTCCTGCATGATGTAGGGACCGGAAGTACCGTGACATTTATAGCGGTGGGCGTGGCCGTGCCCTTGGTTGTCATAGCGACAGTTGTCGTGGCTATCGTGCTGTGCAGGAGGAACAGGTGGGTTGAAATGCCAGCTATCTGATTCTGGTGGGTTATCTTTGAAATTAAATGTTATGTATTGACGGACTCGTATAAATTGCTACGGAGGTTTCAACAGATAGTGATTTTCCGCTCTTTATATTCCTTTCTTCCTAGAAATACAACCTCGAAGTCTCCAGGCTTGGGACAAGCCAGTCACCTTGACAGCCGTGCGAGTGCGCCACCCAGCGGAAGTGTGGGGCTGTCCAGCCTTGGAGCCCGATATGTCGCAAATGGTGGGGCTGAGGACCTGGACCCGAGCGAGCATCTCTACGCCGTACCTGACGACGACAGGGCAAGTAAAGCTGCAAAACCTGGACGTGGTGACCAGAACAAAAACAGACCACCTTCCCCTCTTCTCAGTCAGAACCAGGACGAAGGCTTTACGGAGAATGACCTGTACGAGACTGCTGATGACGTCACGACTGAGGGTGAGGGATCGGTGGAGAACATTCTGTACGGAAAAGTTGACTGACTCAGACCCTTTGTTATTTCTTTACTTTACTGTGTAGAGAGGTTTTATATTTTGTATTCGGTGTTTGTCGTTTGGCCATAATAAAATTTGTAAAATGTACGATATAGAAACATGAAGAATAGAATTCTGTAGATATACATGTACTAGCTATGTTATAAAATGCCATTTTACGAACTTGTCATACATTGTATCCTTTACAATTATTGTGCAATAAAAATGATTGATTGGTCCAATTAGTAGTTGTTGATTATGAGGCAAACGTAGATCAGGTATGGATAGATCTTGAATGCCTAAAGTTTCCTTTTCAGGATGAAAACTTGTTAACATTCCTTCTAGTGTGTCGTGACGGTTACTTGAAGATTCGGCCAGCCTCATCTGTTTATCTATTCTTAACTGTCTCTACGTGAAGCAAGTCTTGTTTGGTTTTACCTGTAAGTAAGCAGGAACAAAAGGCGTTGAAACTGCCTTAACTCGGCACTTAAGGGAAGTGTAAACTCCTCTAACGGTGTGGACGTTCTGCGTCAGCCGCTTCTCTCATTACACAAACATCTTTTATCCGGTGGGATTGCAGTAAATCCCTCTTACTCTCAGCTTTCCACTATATACTGTAATCGCTCAGTGAACAAACGATGGACAGATCGCTCAACGAATGCACACATACATTAAGAACTATTTCTTCAAGTTAGGTGTGTTTTGTTGTCTCTGGAATCATATTCCAAGTGTAAAATCAATTGTTATACAACTCCAGTAAATCAGCACGTACAGTTTTGTTGGTGAGTGATACATATGTCTGACAGTCTGAGCAAAAATTCACTCAATGCCAAGAAGACTGGCACTTTAAGGGTATTAACTGATGATAAAAGACAAGTGGCCGAGTTTATACTAACTCAAAACAAACAACTTTGCCCTGAAATATATTCTATACAAAACTCTCCCTTCCCCCTGTCTCTTCCCATTTCTCTCCTCTCTGCCTCTTTTCTTTTCTCTGTGTTTCTCTTAATCAAAATCCTGACTTTTTACAGTTGAAGGAAATACGGAATCGTCTCACGACCTGTGCCATGAAAGCGCATTTGCAAGAGGACTTTACCTCCTCTTCTAATAAGATTTCCGTGTAAACCTCCTTGCCATGAACCGTGCCCACACACCAGCTCGAACCTGTCACGCGCACTTAACCTGGCGAAACGCCCTCATGCGCCACTGGTCAAACTCGCAACACCGCGGAGTGGAAACGTAACACCTGCGCTCCATCCCCCCGCAGTATTCAACTCCTCCCAGGCAGAGCGGCCACAAACACTTCGCCGTTTTTCCGGGCGGGTAGGCAGCAAGTCCAGGCCGGCCTAAGGTGAGACAAGACCCGCGTGTTTGATCCGCTTACCGCTGATCAAGTCATTCCCGGGGTTCCAGACAGGGTACGGAGATTATTCCGGGAGGCCAGGGCGGATTAAACGGTGATGTTTTGGAATGTGTTGGAACAGGGAGGTACAAAACCGTGACACAATGTGGTACAATTCCCCCGCGGCTCGGGTTTCGGGCGTGTACAATGGGGTGGCGGTGTTAGGGGAGGGAAGTCAGGCGCGTCCAACTTGGTTTAACGGCTGGGAAAGTCTTAAGAGAGGAACGGGAGGGGCCTTAAATGTGTGCGACACGTCTTGGAGGTTACGGGACGTGTTTTTCTTTGTCGCCACCGCAGGTGAGTTTTCGACTTGTCTTTAACAGGTGCGTACGTCGCACCTGAGGATCCAGAGGCGGGCGGTTTTTGACAGGTATGTTGGGAGAAATATGAGTCATTGAGAGACTTTCAGAGCCTCAAATGTTACTACAGCCCCATAGATCTGTTTTCTGTCACTTGGAGTGTGTATGTGTGTGTTGGGAGGGCCATACTAAAGCACAAATGTGCCTACACGACACCAAATATTCATCGATGATCTTAACGTTAACCTTTCGAAAGTACTACGTAACCGTAACGGCAAATATCAACATCTGGGTTACACTATGCCAAACTAGCTATAGCCTCCTGTTGAATGATATCTTACTCATTAACAGTGCTGCGAGAAGTGAGAAAATACGGCGTGGATCACATTTTGTCGTAGACCGTCGCACGTAGGATTTTCGACCAAGCTGTGACAAAACCAATCTGCCGACGAGGATATCAGGCAGCCTTTTCCGTAACAAGTCGGCTGAATTTTTTACGCCACAGGCATGACTGTACCAAGAATTCCCGCTCAGTTTGAAATCGCACGCCGATACCGTATGTGACCGACCGGGCGCTGAGACAGTGACACTTGTTGGAGTGGGTGTTTGTCAGATACGAGTACTAGTAGTTCTGATATAGTTACTAGAACCTATATCAACAATCTATTATTAGCAGCCGTAGTAAGGTCGAGGTTGTTCATACAGGTAACAGAAATTCAGTGTCTGAACTGCCGTTCGCGAGAGTACTTCGGAACTCTACCCGGCCCTTCTGCCTACTCTCAAGGGTAAGAAGATTATATATTTTAGGAAACAAAAACTAAGATGCGAAAACTTTCCTCGTCACATCATCAGAACGTTTTCAGATGGAACATTTCCACGCTTGAGTGAACCTGGAGCGGCGGGTTTACACTAGGGTCACCGTGTTTGTTTATTTCCTTCTTTCTTTGTTTGTTCTCTCGGTTCGGTGTCCATTACCATGCAGGTGAATGACATCAAACTTCCCCACGGTATTCAACACTACGCTACTATATAGTAGGTAGAGGTTTAGACTTTGGCTTATTTTTGACGTGTTTTTCGGCGTTTTTATTTTTACGGGGCTTTCGTTTTGTACTGGTATCCTTGGTTTTCGCTTGTGAATCTTAGTCTGTTACTGTGATTTTCGAAGATGTGAAAATTCTAGATTTCATGATGCAAAAATAGGTAAATCGTAGAACTGCTTAGAAAAGATACTGAAACCCACGATTAGCTCCACATGATTGAAAAGGAACCATGTCCTAATAAGGAAATGACCGTGACGTCATTGCCCACAGTGATGTGCGAGTCGTCGGCGGACTGCGGGTGGAACAGCGCATGCGCCAACGGCACGTGTTCCTGTCATGGCGGATTCTCCAGCTCGGACGGTACTTTTTGCACAGACGGTACGTAACCATGGCAACGAAAAAATTCCACTTTTGTGTATTTTTCAATATCATTAGCACACAGACAGTCAGACGCATGCACCCTCGAATAGACACATAGACAGATATACCAAAAACTAAACTTCACTTCCTTTGGGTGTGAATCAAAAACATCATAGTTTCCATGCTTCCTGTAGGGTGCAGTAGTATTGATGAATGTTTGTACCCCTCTACACAGACCTGTGTGGTGGTGGCCACTGTATCACGTGCTACGACGCCGTCAGATGCCGCAGGTAGGATGTCCACTTTTATCCAGCACCTGCAGCATTTGGTTTTACCCAAATGTGTAGTGATTAATATACAATAGGGTTTTGTCATATCCTATATAGGCCCTTTTCCCACTAGGATAAAATCATCCGGATCGATCCGAATTGATTCGGCTTCAAGCCGGGTTCAAGCCAGATCGAGCCGGATCGAAGCCGGATCAAAGTGAATCAATTCGGCTCGATCCGGACAATTTTATTCCAGTGAGAATGGGGTCTTAGAAATCTCCTCTCCTTTCCAGGTGTGTGCAGGTGGTCCTGTCGGCCTCCGGCAGGTGTGTGACCACCTGTAGGTCCCAGGAGAGTCTGCACCTGGCAGGTGACGGGTACCTGGGGAGAGTGTGCGCAGGTGAGTCACGACAGGTGCTTCCCGTATAGACAACACGTGATTTAAAAAAACACGTGATATAAAAGTGTAAAACCTAAAAATTTCTAGCCTCGTTTTCTACAGATATAGCTACAAAGGTAACAAAATAACTATCGAGGAAACAGTCACATGTTTATGTATTTCCCTACCAGATCCTGAGTTTGAGTCGCTCCCTGTCGGGTACATAGCTGTGATTGGCGTGCTGGGCGGACTGATACTGGTAGCCGCGCTAGTGGTGATGGCATGCTGTATATACACCAAGAGAACAAAGTAAGGACGGGGAAACGTCAACTGGAAGTCTATTTCTCTATCAGTTTTTTGCCAGATTTACGACCGTGTGTTGGTTTGTTTGATGTATCAGTACAACCAAGCTCTCCCACACGATTTGAGATGTATCTACACTTATGTCGCCAAAACTACGAAGTCAAATCGGAGAGGAACCACACCAAAATGTCCATTGTTTTCCCAGAGGCCGGCTGAACTTCCTTCGCGCCTGGCAGTCCACAAACGTGGAGATGACCAACATGAACGGCAATGGCAGCAGAGCAGCGGCGTCAATACAGTACGGCTTCAACAACCCGGCCTTCCGTAAGTACTGGGACCACTCATTCACTCATTCATTCGTCCACCCACCTACCCATACATACATACAAACATCTATTTCCCCATTCAATCATCCATCTCTTCATTTATCCATCTTTAAATTTCCATCAACGATTTTTAAACAAAACGAGACCCATTTTCGAACTTAACCTTGGTCTCCGCAACGGTAACTTGCCGACCAAAAATCATGAACAGCCATTTACATATACTCGAGTTATCCTGCTAACAAACGAAATCTGCCATCACTGACTGCCTTGTGTTGTGTGTCCAGTTGACGACAGTAGCCTGTCCGTGGCCTTACCGGACCCGACCCAGGCCCTGACCCCCCGGCAGGTCCAGCAGCACAAGGCGGAGTTTTTCCGGCTGGCCACGCAGCTCCGCCCGCATGTGCAGGCCTTCCTCACCATGCTGGGGGACGCCAGGAGGAGGCTCCGCAACATCGGCGAGGAACACAAGGACGCACACGTCTACAGGTGTTTTTACATTATTACTGTTTTATTCTACAAGTAGAAGAACTTTATTGCACGACAATCGTACATGGTATCACACATGGTAACAACTATTTGACAATTAGTACACAAAAAAGGTATAGAAGAAAACTTAACATCCTAATTAAAGCAATAAAGGCCAGCATATAGTATTACAATGCGTATCATGATGTTTTGTATAGCTACATTATACAAATGTAGCACTGCAACACAGAAAAGGTCTCATATATCTATCTACCTACCTGTCATATAACTAAGTCTAGTCTCACCTGCCACAGTTTCGGTAACTTGGCTATGTCAATATTGTCTTCTAAATATCGTATTTGCTTATGTTTATTGATTTAATATCCGTATTGGTTCATGTATTTCAAAATTGTATGTGTAAAGCATGACGCAAGGCTCCTTGCGTAGAGTAATTATTCCGACCGACTTGATCTCTGGTCACAGAATCATCATCCGGGACCTTTCGCGAGTGGTGCTGGTACTGAACCGAGCAGAAGGTTCGTCGGTGGAGATTCCGCGGGACGGGGTGGCGCTGATGCGGTGGGCCAGACACGCGCTCGCCGCCTACCGGGCACAGGCGGCCCCCTCTGTAAGTCCCGCGGCACGGCCCGCTACGGGACCCGACTGTAAACATGGCTACACGTTACTGTCAACTAGAGTGTGATGGGACGAAAGGATGGGATGTTATGTTAGCCCAACTGTTGCATCCATCTGTTTGTGCATGTATGTCTGTTCATCTGTGTGACTGTGTTTGTGTGTGTGTGTTTGTGTGTGTGTTTGTGTGTGTGTGTGTGTGTGTGTGTGTGTGTGTGTGTGTGTGTGTGTGTGTGTGTGTGTGTGTGCTTGGCAATGTGCGTGTGTGTTTTGTGTGTAAGTGTGTGTCCATTATGTGTGTTTGTGTATGTGTCTGTTTGATTGTTTGTGTGTATTTGTCCATTTTTGTGTGTTGTGTATATGTGTGTCTCTGTCCGTGTGTGTGTTTGTCCATATGTGTGTACGCGTCTGTGTTACTGACCAATGATAAGGGAGTGAAGTCTGCCATCCCTGAAACACAGTCTTGATTTGTCTCCCCAGGACCCTGCCCACGTCTCCCGGACCCCCAGCGTAGCCGGCTCTACCCGGGTCCCTCCAAACGTCTCCTTCAAGTCTCCGCCCACCCCCGTCCGCACCAACCCTTACGTCACCCGTCACCATAGTAACCGGTCTGCCTCCATGGCGAACGGGGTCGTCATTGGCAACGGCCATGCGTCAGTGTCATTCGTTTGACGTCAAAGGCACATCGTTAAAACATGACGCCATTAAAGATATTTCCTTTCTTTAGACAAAATCTTATCATGGACGTCTATGAAAACTGTTTGTAGGCATGAGTTACATGTACGAGTGATACATGATACAAATAGTTAGTATGTGTTGAAATTTCGTAACGGTTATACGTCAGGGTGGAGATTGCAATCTGGTAGGATCCCAATCGGGGTCTGTACATTTAAAGGCTGTAAATTAAAGAAAATTAAAAAAATAGATTGAATCAAAATTTTCCCTCCAAAGACTTTTTCAACTTAGTTTCATGTCACCTAAGATCAATAGACTGACTTGAAGTTTAGGATTTATAAATGGGAGATCACTCCAATTCTAGCATCGTGATCACGATCTCTATATAGAGACACTCCGATTGGGATCTGTGCCGTTAGAATCGGCGATTCTGCCAGTTTGCGATCTTTACCCTGACATATCTATCTATATATCGATCTACACAACGTGATATAAATGTTTTTGTTTTCTTCTCTAAGTTGATGTCTAGCTTGTGAATTGTGTAATACTAGTAGTAACATCATTCAAATGAAGCTGTTCATTATTTAGGTTGTAGCTAAGATGTCAGCAATCACCTATGTATTGTCTCCTTAATGCATCCACAAAATAGACTATAAAGTTCAGCAAATCATAAGAATATATTAGGAACTGTAAGATAACGATGTTGAAATATCGAAGCAAAAACTGCCCAAAAAGATGGAAATAGCAGCCTGGGAAGGTTCGTTGTAACTGGATTCCTATTTTCTTATATTTTTTTAATAGAGATTATGTTGAAATAGTCTTCCTATATGCTTGCTTCACCATTTTTATCTAATTTTCTACTAAAGACCTCGAGATAATAGAAGAAATAAATATACTCAGCATTACATGTTGTTAACTGTTCATTCTGTACATATTTCACAAAGTATAGACAATAAATTAAAGAATATGATAGATTTTACGAAAAGGAGCTACAAACATGTACGTTTCCGTGACGGCCACCCTCTATCATATATTGAAGATAATATGATATGAAAGTAAAGAAAGAAATAGTACGAATTGCCTGATTTAATCTGTACTCTAAACTACTAACATTAGTCATTTGTAGGTGGACTAAGCAGTTACTTAAAAATGTTACCAAAAATACAACATCAAAACGTACACAGAAGTAATTATACCTCTCGTTACAAAGCTTCTAGAACTAGAACTAAGGTACTAGTAACTAAATATTGACGCGACCAAATCCAGGCATGTATATTCTTAACTATATTTAGCCCGGCATCCTTTACAACTCAGACATACCATAACATTATGGCGGTGTTGATATAACTGGGCCGGTGTAATCCAGCTCCTCTGTACGCTTTAAGTTTCACATGTGTTGTTATCGCGCTCCCACGCGTGTAACCTCTATTCACTTTTATCCAGCAGGTTATATAAATCTGCCACATACAAAAGCAGCACGTATGAGAGATCTACAGGGCAGCACTCTGCTTGTGTAACAAAAAAAAACTGTTCCGGACGTTCTATGATTCATCCTTCTATGCCTGAAGCTTGCCCGCTCGTATGCGTGAGTAGGGTTTCCTGTGAGCACTTAACATAGTTTCCAGGTCAAGGGAGCTGAGAATGTTTCCTTCCACTTTCTCACGACATGTTACACTTCCTCAAGGTGAAGAGAGAAGAGGCAACAAACACCGTCACGTGGAGTGTCACGTAGTAGGAACCACCTGTTAACCTTGGCGCTGTGGGCGCGCAGCCAAATTTAGCCTCCCTGTCAGGCTCTATTAAGGGCAGTGCAGATCCTGGCGGGGAGGCTAACATATCGCTTTCCTGTACGCTCCAAGCAGAGGTTTGGGTTTTGGTTTATTTTTGGCGTATTTTTGGGCTTCTTTTATCGTTTCGGAAGTTCGGGAATCGGGAGTTCACGACACACACACACACACACACACACACACACACACACACACACACACACACACACACACACACACACACACACACACACACACACACACACACACACACACACACACACACACTATATCTATAATAGAAAAGAAGTAAACAGCAAAAAAAAAAAAGAATACTTGTACAAAATTCGTCGCCCATGTAAAGTCTGGTGTGTAGGCTAGTCCGAATGGCCTGTCCGACAGCCGGCCTGTTTTGTCGCCCTGCCCGGGTACACATGTCGGACCTGAAACCAACCCGTGACCGATTCATTCTGTCACTGGCGACAGGCAACCTGACTAGTCGTTCCGCGCCGCCTGTACCGGCACTGTTCGTACGAACTGACCAGAACGGCGCCATTGTACAGACTACAGCGTGTCCTAGATAAAGGTAAACCAACTAGAGATGGTTATTATCACCGAGCCCTGAAGCGCATCGTTATAATTGCTTTCTGCTGATAACCTTATCAGTCTGGGTACAATTCTGGTAAGACTCCATTTCCACTAGACAGAGACCGTTGTGCTACAAAGAATTTGTGTGAACCTGGTCTTTGTAATTGGAATATGATGAGTGACATCGACGCAAAAGTATGATTTAAAAGACAACAAAGCATATACAAAACGTAACGCGTCTTTGTCAATGTGTTTTTTCAGCGCTCTGTTAAATCTTTTGTCGCTCAGCTGTCGTTGCCTCTAGTAGGAGTCTTACAGCATTGCCTAACCATCTCAGACACATTTGTATATTGTCGCAGAAATTTCTGGTCACTATAGTTAGTTTTATTAAGTCCAAACACCAATGTTCCTATTGTTGAATTGCTTCCATGGACTGTTCATTTTCGAACTACACCAGGTTGATGAAATTGTTTAAACACAGCCTTCTCATCTGCAAATGCTTGTACAACTTTCTAGCTTTCATTGAGACCTAATTTATATCTCCGGGAAGATCTTTTTTGGCTGACAGTTATTATGATTGGTAGTGCAGTATCCAATACGCCACCAAAGCGAAAAAAGATACCAGTACAAAAAGAAAGCCCCATAAACACACATAAAACACGTCAAAAATAAGCAGAAGCCTAACCTTCTGCTTGGAGAGTCCAAAATAAAGAACTCTGCTACCACTACTTATCGCATGGTGGCGCTGTAGTGCGGTGTAGCTGTAGCAGAGTTCGTCAGGTCCTGACGCTGGCCGCTGGAAAGCGTCTAATCTTAATTGTAGAAAAAACCTTTCAAAAATATGAGGTCGTTGTGATTATGATAAAAGAAGACGATGATGAGAAGAATAACCGAAGCTAGGTATTTATTTTCATCTGAGTACTCGATATCATTATACTGTTAAGGAAATAAGTATAAAGTGCCTTTGCATGAGACCTGCCATGGATTCGAATTCAAGATCCTGAGCCACCAACCTATTAGTACTAGTAACTACAAGGATGCGTGAAACCGCATCATGGCTCAAAGGTCTACTAAAAAGTGACACACGTTCAATTTCTGCCGCCAAGACAACAGGCTCGTTTTGGAAGCAACTCCCGGCGAATTTTTTTTCCCTAACTAGTTTCATACTTCCGGCGAGAGAGTTTCTCACCTGTGTGCGTTTCCTGTCATCAGATGAACGGTCCCCTAAAACAACAGTCCGGCGTTCTTCACTTGTGTGAGTTTTACGCTGGCTCCAAATGTTTCCTGTCATTAACTGAACAGCCCCTCAAAGCAGATAGATCAAAACAGTTCTGTGGGATAATTTCTCACCTGTGTGAGTTTTACGCTGACTTCAAGCGCTTGCGATTTTAAAACGTACTGTCCTCCTAGAGGCGCTGACCGCAACAGCTTGCTATCGTGGAAGTCACCGTGACAAAGTCCCGCCTAACTCTTTTATCCGCTCGGTTCTCTGCCGTTAACCAGTGCGGTAAGCAGCGAGTAACCACCAGTCGCCTGCACGCCCCATCCGGAACGCCGCGGCTTCACCCCACTGCGCGTCTGCACCGGAGTGAAAGCAGACGGGTGCAAGATCAAGAGGAGGGATTGAGCTGAACGCCGGGAGAAGCCCCAGTGTGGTCCGCGGGCGTGGGTGCAGTATTGCCGCGGGACACAGCCGCGTGGTCCGAAGGCGTGGGTGCAGCCTCTTTTCGGAGAACACAAATCTACTATAGGCTGCACTATTGATGTCTATAATGCCAGACAACAAGGTTTAAAGCCGCTTCGGAAAAAAGAAAAGAAGAAACCATCTCCGTTGCCAAGCGAGCGGGAAACATCTCAGAGGGAAGACTTATTGGGAGGTTTATAAAGTGTCTTTCCATCCAGCTGTGGATTGAAAACGGTGGCATCACGCCTGCAAGCGTAGTGACCGTGCTTACGGAGTTAGCAGGGGGCAGCGGCAGGTTGCTCTGCGGGAGCAGGCGCATGGTACCCCGCTAAGAAACAAGACCAGAACGATAGGAGACTGGGAAAGAAGGGTAAACAACGTGGACCACGTCAGGCGCACACAGACCGTAGGCAGACCACGCAGGCTGACGCCGGACTGTCAGGCGCACACAGACCGTAGGTAGACCACGCTAGGTCGAGAACAGACCGTCAGACCACAGACCGGACCGAGACTCAGGTCGAGACCGAACTGCCAGGCGCACACAGACCACGCTAGGCCAAGACCAGACTGCAAGAGGCACACAGACCGTAGGCAGACCACTCTAGGTCGATACCGGACTGTCAGAGGCGCACAGTTGTCGGTATGGCTGCCGAGCCTCAGCAGTACACGCAGCGGCTGGTGGTGCTGGGCGCCGCGGGGGTCGGCAAGTCTGCCATCGTGGCCCAGTTCCTGTTCGAGACGTTCACCGAGAAGTACAAGAAGACGGTGGAGGAGCTCTACTGCACAGAGTACGACGTCTACGAGACCAAGGTGGGTGTCTGGGGTTGTTATAATTATTAGGAAGAATACCGCCACATCTGAGGGAATATGTTGACCACGTAGGAGACATATCATGACGAAAATGTTCACAGTAGATAAAGAGAAAAATAATCGGCGTAATCTATTTGCCATATGAACGAAAAGAGCTAAAATAGTTTTGGATACCAGGCTGATTTTATGTACTCCTAAAGGCTGCAACCGGCACTCATATCAACAAACTGTCGTCGTCATTATATTTTCATAGCCGCATCGGTAACGGGTACTGGGGGTGGAGATGGGAGTCAGCATCGTATCCTACACAAGACGGAAGTTGTGAAACTAAAGACCATCAGATTGTAGGATGATGGTTTCCGCATTACTCCCGACTTTGGAGGGTGGGGGGCGGAAGTCGTTCTGCTAACCACGTCGTCCTTATACCCCCGTCACATTGCGCGTAAATCGATCGGCCGACTAGTTGGCGACCTCTAAACGACATTTACGGCCGTAGTACGCCCGATGTTCCGTCGAGCATCGCGCGAATTTTCGGGATCGCCGGCGATTTTTTGGAGTCGGCCGAAGCTCGCTGACACGCGAAACGTGTTCTTAACATCAGCGACTAGTCGCCGGCGATTTTTGAGGTCGCAGAGCTCGTTTCCAGCTCGCGCGTACCTCGCCCGTAGCTCGTCCCTGTACGACCGAGAGTCGACCGATATTCGGGCGTACATCCCACGAGTGTCGGCCGTTCTTTGTCTTCAAAAATCGGGCGATGGTCGCTGAATACGGTCGACCCTCGCGCGAGCTTCGCGAAATATTCGGGAGACCCTCTTCCGTACCTCGCCCGACTTGCGCAACGTTTTTAAAATCGTGCGTGCTTCGAGCGATCTTCGTGCCAGTGTCGGACGAAGGTTCTACGAGCCTCGGTCGAGCTCCTGTGAAGTTATTATTTATTTGGCACCTGTGACATTTATTTCAGATTTTATTGACAGTATACTTTGTAAAGTTTGCAGGAGCAACGTCCCACTGATTGTTAACGTTATGTTTACGAGAAAGGATAAAAATAGATAAAATTGTCCTTTTTGTACTTTTGTTAAATCAACATTTGTTAACACTTTTGAAAAATTAAAAGGTTTTCACTATATAAAGTCAAATGCCTAGTCTAGATTTTGAACCCAACTGATTGAACGCAAATGAAATCCTTTACTCTTGTTCCTTTAGGAGGTTGTATAATAAATTGACTTTTACACTAACTGTCTTGTTCATTCTGGAATAAGGTTGACTTGTTTCTTATGGTGCCCACAAGAACGTCATGTGATAGAGAGATATTACTTACTAGTTGAAGTTTATATTGCATGGCTCTTTTTACCTCCGTCTACTTTGATGCCATTGAATGGATAATAAACTTGTTTACCGGAGGATTCATACTATTTTAGACAGAAGTAGATCTATAGAGGTTAAGTTTTAGAATAATATATCTTATTAGCTTTGTTCAGGTACACGTATACGTGTATAAAAAAGATTTTGATATAATGATAATCATTATGTTGTTGTACATTTTGGTTGAATGGTCTAGACATCGTGCGAACATCGATAGATCGTCGAACGTAACTCGGGCGACGTACGCCCGTGTGTCGAGCGAGCTTCGGCCGACTCCTGTCTGCTTAAGAAGGTGGTCGTTGTGTTAACCAGACGGTAGTGTAAATTTGTGGCTCTTGTGGTCGTATTTGAGTTGGATCTTTCACAGAATTCCTGTTTATATTTCTATTTATTCTGCCAGTCCGCTCCATTACTTTGCAAAAAAATATTACGGCAGGTCAAACATAAAAATTGGCCAAACTATTCATGTTTAGGTGGATACACTGGCCTTGCTTCATCTGCTTGCCATGTTATAGGGACTTCATTATCATAGATGTATTCCCAAGCGATCGCCCGAGCCTCGCACAATGTGACCACGAGGATTTTCAAGCCAAAAATACGCGCGATCGTCGGTCGATCTCAAAATCGGCCGATCTTTCGGCGATTGACAAATACGGCCGAAGCTCGTCGACAATGTGACGGGGGTATAAGGCACCTGATGTGATATAACGTTACCTCCTCCCACACAAATTTTCCCAACTACCTGCGTACTTCACTACACGGTGGGATCACATCGCTTTAAATTTTGCTTGTATTTTTGACTCAGATAGACATTTCCGTTCTAAAATTTCACGGACGCATCAAGCCTAATGTCGTATAGAACTATCAAAAGTCACATTTTATGGGAGGAGTGCTTAAATGTACCTCATCTAAATTTATAAACATCCTGTTCGGTACGGATGTTACAAAAGACCGCCTGACAGTCCAGATTAGCTTGGTCAGGTGTGTAAGGAAGTCCGCCCCACAATCAGGGCTGGTTTGTGTTTGGATGAGCACTTCCGTCCTGCATGAGCTGACCGAGATTACCGTAGGCGGGAATACCGGAAGGCGGGGGGAGGAAGCCGGTGTCCTCACAAATTGGCGAGTTCTGATCGGCCTTGAACTTGTAAGCACTTACCCTCTACGTGACCTCATTCTTACCGTAACCTGTTACCACAGACAAGCCGGTATGGTCTCTTCACCGAGTTCTTCTAAACGAAGCCAAGGTGGTATCAAGGTGGCGTTGTTTTCTTGTGTTTAGGTTCTTAGAATCTAATGGTTGTGGTTTTGAAACCCTGACAGGCCCCGTTGTGCTATAGAGAAAGGAATTTTACACCTATTTTCTCACTCGACTGAGGTGAAAATGAGATACTATAGCTAGCCTTTGTTAGGGACGTCTTGGATAGGACGTCACGTGTTTGAGGAGCCAATCACTTATAAAAAAAAGTGTAGGGGTCAAATTCTGTGTGAGTGAATCAAACCTTACAGCCCTTGCACAGTGTAAATGCGAAACAAACAAACAAACGCCACGTCGCCACTTAAAGGTCGCTCACCCCATCCCTTCTGTCCTACTTTCTGACATTTTGTAGAGGAAAAACACGCAGGAGAGCTGGAACATCAGTGGAAAACCGATTTTATTGCCCCCTTGTGACATCCCACTGCCGCGGTCAGTAACCTGTGTGGGCTTTCATATTCGGCCTCAACGGGGTTTCTTTAAGACCACTTGTCACAAACATCTTTTCAACTAAACCACGTCCCTTTGGACTGGAAGGTTGACTGTAGTACACAGCATGTTGTTACGAGTCGTAGTAGTCTCTGCTGTCATAGATCACCTACCGCTGTGTTTATTCTCTTCGTACCTCGACCTTTCTGGATTCTACTCAGTATCACCTGTCACACAACTGAACGGCAGTTTTGACATGGTAGACTTTATCTAAGATTAATCACGTTTCGAAACGTTTTGAAATGAAGCGCATTTATGTCCGAACCCGTTTTCCCTTTTCGAAATGGGTCACGATTGGGATGGGGCAGATTGTAGGATGGAGCACGGTTGGTACAGCATGCCTTTGGCTCTTTGATCCCTATTGATTCAAAGCAATTGGGCTGTTATCAACCAATAAAGCTACATACAGTTTTACAGTCGCAGAAAAGACAAGCACTTTCTCCTGTTCCCTGTAACGAACGATTTTCGGTTTGTGTAAACTGTACAGAGTCGGAGACGCTCCCGGGTTCCCGGAGGCTGCAGAGGTCGTCACCCCGCGGGTCGGTTTGCGGTTTCCCGGGCGCGGAATGCCCTCCCCGGCGTGTGATCGCCACAGTGTTTACAGACATAATGCCCTGGATAAAATCATATTTAGTATCTTAGCAACTACCTCAAAAAATATATTTTATAGTGCTGATAAAACAGAACGAATGACATCGTGGGAGATCTGGAAATATAACATGTTTTAACGCTCCTGAATTTGGACAGAAGACTTAACTATAAGTAATGGTTAAAATTTCTGAACTCTTAGTATCATTTCTACTTGCGTGCAAATTCTTAGATTATAAAGTACCTTCTTCCCCCGTTATTAAGCCTAAATATACATAAGATACCAGAATACCCCTACCCTACCCTCATGAATGGACTAGCCCGTGTAATTAGCGACGTGAATAGCCCTAAGCGTGTAACTCAACACCCGCAGTTCTTCTGTCAGCCGCCGTTCTTTGGTAACTAGAAACCAGCGACAACAAATGCAGGGTCTTTTGTGTGCAGATCGCAGCGCGCACAATGCACCTGTCTATCTCTCCCCAACAGGAATCAAAGCCTGCCTAGTCATCAACGGGCTCTGTGTTTGCAAAATCTCGGTCCACGACACACTATATACTCTTATTATTGGTTAGATTCTATGATTGTGCCTTTGTATGATCAAAAGGCTCGCTTACGCTATTTCAAAGACTCAATAAATATTTAGATACAACTAGCGCTGTTATTAATAATAATTTCTGCTTCTTCGGTAAACTATGCGCACGTTTAGCCTGTGATCTCCATTTGGGTTGAATTCAGACATCATTTCTTTGAACAATAATTGAGCGATGTACAAACAAAACAGTGGGTTATGTTTGCACATCGCGCTCCTAGTGTGATGCGGCACTCTGTGTGACAAGAGCTGCGAACTTGATAAATACGGCCATAAAAATAACGTCAATTAACAGCGCCGGCATATGGTAGGAAACCTTCTCCATGTTGTTACTATCTTTATAACCATCCCCATGACAACCGTTTCTGTAGCAACACAACACAACACCTGCCCCTCGCCAGGATTAGCGTGGAGACAGGAGAAACATGGAACTGAGATGGTGATGCTGTCCGTGGTGCTGAAACATCTGTTGCCGTTGTGAGAACCAGAAGTACGGCCTCCATTGTATCCAGAACTACGTGTATCTAGTCCTAATCCTGAATGAGTTAGAGTTAGGATCAGATACAGTTCGGGATAGTCTCCGCGAACGTATATTTGCTCCGGGCATGGTTCTGGATACGCTTGGACTATCCAGAACCGTGTCTGGGCATGGTTCTGGATAAAGCACGGTTCTGGATACAATGGCCTCGCAAGGAAAGGAAAAAATATCGTCCGAAACTC